CTGACTCAGGTCCAGGATCAGATCCGCGGCGGCGGCGCAGTAGTTGAAGAGCGGCCCGTCCACCTCGGACACGCTGAGGTACCTCGCTGACAAAGGCGTCGCCTCGCTCAGGAGCTTCGATATGCCAACCAGGTGGCCAGTGGTGCTGGTGACGCGGGACGCCAAGTCCAGCGCGGGGGCATCCTGCACGGCGCACTTGTGGGCCAGCTCCACGGCGGCCACCGTGCGCTTCTGGAGCTGGATCCCGAAGGTGAAGCCCTCAATGGCCGTCTGCGAGTCGCGGAGAAGCCGCTTCGCGTTGGGCCACTGTGCAGCTGATCCAGCCATCGGCCAGCGGTTGGACAAGATGCCCGTCACGCAGTCCGCCGCCTCTTCCAGCTCCACGGCCCCCGGCATGACCTCGTCGCCTAGCAGTTGCATGGCAGACCGCAGAGCGCCCATGTCTGCCTTTATCTCGGACGACGCCCACACCGGCGTCGCGCTCGACAGGCGAAGGAGGTCGCGGTAAAGATGCTTGGGGCCCGCCTGCGCCAGCATGCTGATCTTCATCTTCAACATGTCCACGCACATAGCTGCCTGACCAGCCTTCGTTGGAAATCCAGCCTCCTTCAGCTTCGACGGGTCCAGCATCGACCACATAGCGTCGTCGGGAGGGGATGCCTGGAGGGACGCTCCGGCATGCGCTGAGGCGAAGGCGGGGGGGCGGACTGACTGACCTCCCCCCCCCGCGCTGAAACGTCCGAATGACCCCCCCCCCCCGACTGCCTCCCCAACCCCATCAGCGTCCCCGGATCGACATGAGGGGATCCACGGAGCGGAGGTATACAGTCGAGACGACGGCGCAGGGGGAGAATGTCGAGGAAGGTGCGCGGGGGGCAGGGCTAAGTCAGTTAACGCCCCCGCAGCTCCACATCAGCATCCGCCGTCACATCCCCCGCCCCTATGCGCCTCCACCTGCTGCGCGATGTACTCCTGCAGCATCCAGTGCGGGAAGGGGGCGTCCGCCACAGGAGGCGTGGCCAAGAAGGTCAAGGACATCTTGTAGGCAGACGCGAAGGCCTTGTCGAAGCTCCCTGACCGCGTCCACGCCTTGGCCAGGTTAATCGCCTCTTGCGCCTGTTTGCGCAAGACCTGGACCTCGTCACCGTCGGGGTAGACCTCTGGTTCGTCCTGACCTTTCGCCTTCGCGGCATCCAGCTCCTCCTGAACATTATCTGCTGGCACGATCGTGTCCGCGAAGTCAGTGAGAGCCTTCGCGAACTGCCGCTGGAAGTTCTGCACCGTGAAATACTTCTCGTCCTGGGTGCACGTGCGGTACGCCGTCAAGTGGGCAAGGAGAGCCGCGCGACGGTTGCCGCGGGGCCGGCCTGGGCGCCTCTTCTCGGGCTCACTGCCGCCAGCGTCACTGCCGGCGCCGCCGGTGCTGCTGCCGCTGGCAGCGCTGCTGGTGCCGCGCATGCGACGGCTGCTCGGCTTGCGAGCGCCCGCGCCCTTGGTGGGCGCGCCCCCGGCCTGGCCCGCTGGGGCGGCCTCGGAGCCTGTGGGCTGCGGAACCATCACTGGGATGAAGGCCGCCTGGAACCCTCCAAAAATATTCGGAGGCGCCTGCGTCGACGATGAAGGCATCGATGGTGGCGCCGTCGACGGTCCCATCGTAGGTGGAGCTGGCCCTGGCGCCTTGGCGAAGATACTCGGAGCCTCCTCGCCACTCGGCCGCGCAAAGGCCTGCCCAAGGCTGGCCGAGAGCCCTGCATAGGCGCGATCCAGCTGACCGTCGAACAGCGCGCCAGCGCTGGTCTGGTGCTTCCTGAGCTTCGCCACGCCCTGCGTCGTCACGTTCTTCACGAGCCACTCCCGCTTGCCTGGGATAGCCACGCATTCGAAGCCCTCGTGCATGACGATCTGATGGCCTTTCCCATTTGTTTTGGGATCACCGTGCTCCTCCACGTAATCAGCCAATAACTGGAGCCGCGTTGGCGCTCCTTCGACCTGCACCTCCCTCTTCTTGTAGCTGCTGACGGTCTCGTCCACCTCCTGCCACGCGACGCGCACGCCGCGAGTGCCGTGCTCGTCGATGAAGACAGCCACGGCCTGGTTGCGGCGCAAGACGAACTCGTCGCAGGTGTCCTTGGAGGTGCCGATCATGGACGCCAACAGGGGGGGCGTGGAGGTGCTCAGCTGCTCGGCGTAGAAGCCTCGCGGGCAGAAGATAGGAAGGCGCGCCAGCCACAGACGTCCCTCCGCCCTGGAAAACGCGCCTCTCAACAGCATCGGGTATCCTGGAACCCCTGGACTAGAGCGGATAAGTCCTGAGTCCCGCCGCCGAACCCTCATCGCCCTCCTCCGGCTAGTCACCCCGCACGCGGCGAAGGAGGAGGACCAGCAGGGTGGGCAGGGGGGGGGGGGGAGGAGGACGAGCAAGTGGAGGGGCGGTAACAGGAGAAGACGGAGGCGGATATGGACGAGGTGCGGGAGAAGCAGAAGGACCGAGTCCGCATCCGATCCACCAGATCGCACCCCGTTTCGCTCGCCCGGCCCCCGCCCAACCGTGCCCGAAGAGCCTGCGTGGACGCGCGCGCAGTAGAAACAGTAGGCACCTCTGTTCTTGCCGTTCTTCGGCTTGTACCCCCAGTGAAGGCATTCAAGTGGGAACGCGTGGTCCTCCTCGGTGTCGCGGCGCCCGCATAAACCGCAGAGACGCCCATTTGGAGTCACCGATGAGGCGAGGGGGGGGGGGGGGGGGGGGGCAGTGAAGGAAAGCGAGAGAGGACGAGGTAGCACAGAATAGATTAGCCTAGTGCAACCCTGCCTAGGAGTTGGAGCCCCTATGAAAGCAGCGTAAGCTAAACTGAGCAAAGCTAAGCTAAGATAGCTAAGCTAAGCTAAGCTAAGCTAAGCTAAGCTAAGCGAAGCTGAGATAAGCTCAGCTAAGCTAAGCTGCGCTAAGATAAACTAAGAAATGCAAAGCTAACCTGGACCATGCTAGGCTAGGATACGTTAAACTAAGCTAAACTACGCTCAGATGAAATAAGCTAAGCTAAGCTAAGCTAAGCTAAGCTAAGCTAAGCTAAGCTAAGCTAAGCTAAGCTAAGCTAAGCTAAGCTAGGCTAACCTAAACTAGGCTATAAGCTAAGCTTAGTTAAGATGAGAAACGCTAAGCTACACTAAGCTAAACCAAGCTAAGCTAAGCTAAGCTAAGCTAAGCTGGGCTGGGCGAAGCTAGGTTTAGTTCGGCTAAGCTAGACTAAGCTGCGCTAGATGAGATATGATAAGATGAGATAAGCGTAGTTGAGCTCGCTAAGCTAAGTTGAGCTAAGGTAAGCGAAGCTAAGCTAAGCTCACCCAGGGGGCGCGGGGGTACCCTGGAAGAACCGCGGGGCGGATGCCGGGGGAAACGACTGGGGCGAGCCCCATTGCCTCGCCCTTAAAGCTAATAGCGTAAGAGTCCTTCTAGGCAGAGACTAGGTAGGGACGGACAGACGTGGACAGAAAAGCATGTGACCCCGATCTGCTTGCCATCCTCCATCGTTTGGAGGACGACCATCTGCGAGGTGTTCTCCATGCCCCACTTGCCGTACTTCGCTCTCTGGGGGTCTGCGCGCCCATAGCTGATCTCTGGGTGCTCCGTGATGTCTGACATCGACTGGCCCTGGTCGCTCATGGCAGAGAGATCAGGCGCCCGAGGGCCGTTACTCTTCCGAAATACCAAGGGCAGGGGGGGGGGGGCCCTCGCAGATGCTTGAGCAGCGTTGCTTCGGCCCAACCAACAACAGACCCCCTCGCGCCGTATCTGTCGTGGACCCCGGGGCCCATGCAAGCGTCCACTTCGGAGGCCCAGAGTGGTATGCAAGTCCCTCTATGCTCTGAACGGTTATCGGTCGGTCGGAGTGGGTCGGCGTCGGTCGGTCGGTCATCAGTCGGCCGGTGGTCAAGCGAGGCGTCGGCCCCGAACGCAGATGCAAGGATGGCCTGGTAAGAAGGAGCGGTTGGGCACCCTCCTGCAGGAGCAGGCGTTGCCTCGCGGAGAGGGGCGGCCCCGTCGATCGCAAACGAGGGGCAGGGACTGGCCCGGGCGCGCAAGAGGGCGATGGCGGCGGGCGGGGATGGAGGCGGGCACGAGTGGACTGTCAGGCCACGCACGCGAGAGGGTTGGAGTAGCGAGGAGCGAGGGCGAGTGCGACGGGGCGAGAACGAGGAGGAGGCGCAGAGGTGGAGGAGGGGGCAATATCATCGCTACTTCAGAAGCGACGTCCTAGTTCGCCGAGCCCCCGTCGCCCGGCAACCCAACGCCCGGCGCAGACCCCGCCTGTGTCCCGCGAGCATGGGGTGGCAAGGTCAGCCTACACTGCCCACGGTGCCGGCGGTCGGGTCTCTGGGCATCTGGAGAGACTCCCATGGCATGCATGTGCGTGGAAAACGCCTGCCGCGCAGCGACGTCATCCTGGCCCCCCATCCGCTGATATCTCCTCCTCATCCGCCCACCCTCCTATCACGCTATCCTGGTATCCTCCAAGTCGCTATCCTCCAGTAGGCTGAGGAGGGGAGGGGGGGGGTACCTCCCCCCCCCCCCCATCCCAGCCGCTCCCTTCCTCCTCCTCCTCCTCCTCCTCCTCCTCCACCTCCTCCGCCTCCTCTTCCGCTTCCGCCTCCTCCTCCCCCTCGCCATCCTGCTCCTCCTCCCACTCGCGCCCAAGTCTGGGCTGCGCCAGAGCTCGGGCCCAGCCAGGGAGTCAGCGGCGCCGACCGAATCCAGCGATAGCAGCGAGAGTGACCGCCGCGAAGGGGAACGCGGAGTACGCGTTACCCACCAGGAGACGCGCGCAGCCATCGTCCAAATCGGCGGCAGCTCCGAAAAACCCGATGAGCCTCAGGAGCAGCTCCCCGGATATCAGCCTGGCTGGAGTCAGATCGAATGATGAGCTTCAGAGAGAGGACGGCAGCAGCATCGATGGAGTGACAACGACCCTACCAGAGCCCCCGTATCGCCTCCACCCTACTCTGCTGTCCCCCCTATCTTTCATCGCCCAATCGTCCGCCATCCTCCATCCCGATCCTCCTTCCTGGCTCTCGCCGTCTGACGGCACTCCCTACGGCAATCCTCTCCTGCTGTGCGCGCCTCCAGTTGCGGCTGTCATCCTCGCCGAGCACGCGCATCAGCAGCAGCGACTTCGCGGTGAGCGTCGGCATCGTCTCGCGGAACACGGCCCCGGTGCTGTCGGGGCCGAGGCAGAAGCGGAGCGACAGGTTGATGTCCGCCCATTGGAAGATCCCAGCCCGCACTGGCCAAGGGTCACACTCCTCGCCATAGAAGGCCACCTGGGAATACAAACATGACAACCACATCGCATGGCTAACCCACGACCCCCTGCAGATGATGTTCCAGTGCCGCTAAGGGAACGACAGCTTGGAACATCATCGTGCGTTGCTACTACGGCTGATGTCGAAGGCCCCCCGCGAGACAATCCCCCTGGCGGCCCCGGGGCCATTGCTACCTGGGTATAACTTGCCCAATGCGTACCCAAAGACCGCGGCACCACGTCACACGCTTCGCTCGAAGCCCACACGAAGCATCAGCATGCAAACTCAACCCTCAAAGCCGTGCCTCCAGGGCCCAGGGAGAGATGGGAGCCGAGTTCGCAGAGTCGCATCAGACTGGGGCAAGGGGGGTGCACGAGGCGCGCAACACGTGCCACCAACCCCCTAGAACCCCAAACACGGCGACCAGTGATATGAAGGAAGACTTGCACATCTGGGAACCTCGATCTGAGCAGGGCAGAGCGGCGCCAGGACTAACTGGAGGTCCTTGGCGTATGACTTCAAGCACGGAGGGTAGTCCAAGCCCGCCGCGGCGTAATACTCCATGTGCACTTCAGAGGTACCCTTCATCTTTTTCGGGCGAGGCTCCGAATCGCCGTCGTACAGCGGGATCGTGTGCCAGTCGAAAAACGTGGCAAGTGGCTGCGGCGGGACCTTCAGGCTCGGCACGATCGACGCAAACGTGTGGACGCCGCTCTCCGTGGGGTCGTCCAAGAGGCCGACGAGCGCCATGCGGACGCGCGTCACCGGGGACCCGTAGTCCGTAGCGCTCACCCGTACAGCCTCAGGCTCGCCGACCACCGATCCCACGCGCCCGCAGGGCAGCGACGACGGCCCCGTTTTGCCCAGGCCCGATGCCGAGCATTCCGAGCCGCGACCTGCGCTGGCGACGAGGCTGACCTTCCGCGTGGAGGGCTCGTCCAGAACCTCTTCGGCACGGATCCGACGAGGTGCCCGATCCTACTCGCGACTGGATCATCGAGTCCTCCTCATCCGAATGGCCTCTTCCCCATCCGCGCTGCCTCCTCACCCGAGTGTCCTCATCCGAGTGGCCCTCTCATCCGAGTGTCCTCCTCCTCCTCCTCCTCCTCCTCCTCCCCATCCGCCTACTCGGTATCCTCCCCGCTCGTCGAACTCCCAAACCCCTCGTCAGCATCGAGAGCCGAGTGCGGGACGCGGGCGCTGTAGCCCATCTCGTGGAGGAAGCGGCAGATGGCGCCGGAGTCAGCGCACATGCCAGGCTCCGCCTCGGACATCAGCGCTGTCAAATTTTCCAAGACGACGATGGGGGGCTTGGCCTTGGCGATATAGGCCGCCGTATATTTCCATGCCAGTCCTGTAGCGCCCTCTCCAGACTGTACTGGCGAAAGCTTCTTGCCCCGCGTCCGAGAATTTAGTGGCGATTTGGTCGTGCACGTGAATCCTGCAGCGAAGATGTCGATGGGGGGCACAACGATCCGCTCGCCAGTCTTGATGCAATACGCCCGAGGTTGTGACAACCTTGGCTGCAGCGAACGACGCCGGCGACTGCGACGGTGGGCGACGAACGATGTCTGCCGTCGCTGCCGATTGCGACCCCGTGACGTCGCTGTCAGCACTCGTAGCATCATGATCGTGCGCACCGTCGTCTCCGCCGGCACCTGCTATCCTGGCCGACATCGCAGACCCTGCGCCGACGCCGCCGATGCCGCGACAAGGCTACCATTGTCGCCATCGGCCGAGCTGCTAACCCGTGGGAGCTGCCAAGGGCCAGACTCTGCCACGTCTCCGAAGAGGTGCTGCGTGTCGGGGAATTCCCTGAGGAGGAACGCCTGCTGCTGCAGGCCTTTCTCACACTGAAACACGGACTGAAACACGATGGCCTTCTGGTACCGCGTGT